TCTCTAAATTTTTCCATTTAACATTCATATCAGTTAAGATGTGTATAAGAGACAGATATATATACAATTCAAACAGGGCTTAAAGAATAAGCAAAACAAGGTGGATCCAAATAAACATAGAACCACCTTGAAGGTTAAAACTTAAGTTGTTGTGTTTGTGACTGGTAGGTTGATATGTGCATGTTTGAGGCTAATAAAGATAGAAAAACAATCTTTAATAGGCTGCTTCACAGGTGGTTTTTTACCTGCAAGTCAAGAAGCACAGAAGGGAGCACAGAGTGAGAAGAGAATTCTTGACATGTGGACTAATACTGGATGTTCAGTTGTGACAAACTATTAAGGTAAAAGTACACATTGATTATTATTATTCTTAAAGTTTGGTAAATGATATTTGGTTATCTCATTGGTACATGGTGTAATTGAAGTTCTTGTATTCACACCATTATTATAGTACAGTACTGATTACAAAATGTTCAACATTACTCCCGTGTATTGGACGTGTGTTTCACAAGTAAAAAGTAAGCTTCATTATTCCGTTATTCCGTGAGTGCTCCAATTAACGCGTGAATGATTTTACTCATACACTTCCTGGTAAAAATCAGGACTTGCGGTCTAAGAACAGGCACGTGGGCTGGTTAAGTTGGTTATTCACGATCTTTTACTAGAGTTCTGTTACGACTTTTCCTAGCACCTTATACTAGTATTTAAGTTATGATAAAACTAACACCAATCGGACACCAATCCGGTATTTCTAAGGGTATGCCTAAGATTAAAGCAGGGCAACCAACGGTCCAAGATCTACGCAATTCTATGGAGAAGGCAACGCAACAGCGCACATGCAATGGATCGTTTTTCATGACGATCATTCAGACTGCCTCCGACATCAGCAGATGACATTGTCTAGCGCTCACATGATTCGTAGTGCGACCATTATACGAAGCAGTAAGTGCCCGGCTTAGGTTTTAATGTTAGCATTAATTACCCACTTCCATACGCTTTAACACCGTAAGAAAAAATACAAAAATACTTTTCTTTCCATTCGTTTTGAATG